GCCGTGGCTGTTGACCACAGAAGGAGCAGTGGGGACTGAGGGGAAAGGACCTTCTGGGTACGGAGGAATTAGGGTGAAAGGACTGACATGGATCTATGGGAGTTGGAGCACTTACGCTACATCAACTCTAGACAAAATACTGTAACTGATGTTGCCTTTCGTAGCTTTTTCCCAAGGTTTGCTCACGGGAACAGCTTCCTAGCTTAAGAGAAATAAAAATGGAATGATTCTTCATGTAAAATCGGAAGTGGACTTTACACCATGACCAGGCAGCTCTGTTGATCCTTCTGGTGTGCTTTGAGTCACGGGGCACATGATGTGCCTGCAGCTTTGTGTGTAACACGCTGCTGCGGAGGATTATTTGCTTGATGGTTGAAAGTTGCCCAATGTTTACTGATTTCAACATGGCTCTGCAACAGGGAATGGCAGAGAGAAGAGCAGAACTTTCTTCCTAACTCAGCCACTGATACCAGGCAGGTTGTTTGGTTTTCATCCTTTCCTCCATCAATATTTCTTTTTTGTTCTTCTTTTAAACTAATTTTAGCTGCTGTCTCGCAGACACCCCAGTATTAACACCAGCCTTAAGAAGTGCTGAGAGCTCACAGGCTGCATGGCCACCTGGAGCCAGAAGCAATACTATCAGGGTACAGTTTCGGACAACTGCCCCTAAGGGATCAGCAAAGACAAAGGCCCACATTTTTCTTCTTCCTAATGTTTCTAAATATGTTTACATCCTCAGATTAAAGGCACTCCACCAGTGTGAAGAAAAGTTCATTACTAATTATTTTATTCTTTCGAAAGCATAACAAAATGACCCTTTCTGTGACCCCTTCTGCAAGCCAGGAGTGCCTTTCACATCTAGTTTTGCTTGACTTAGAGTTCTGATGCAAACATCTGGCAGATAAGAGGTCTGCAAACAAAGGATCTGCTGATTGCACGTCACTTCACCTAGTGGCACTCACTGCTGCTCTGATGCCTCCACCTTATCCATCACCAACCAACCCAACGCTCCTGTTCTGCCAACACACATGCTTTATGGGGCCACAGTGACCTGGATCACTGAACTGATCTGGATAATAAAATTAACATCCCTGGGAGAAACGTGTTGGGGTGTGTTTTATGGCCTAATGACCCTGGATCACTCAGCTGCCCCACAGCTCAGACCCACAGGTATGTGCACTGGCACAAGGAGGGCACTACAGCAAGTGTGGGAACCCACCATGGGTGTGATGGGCTTGGGAACTCTCTGTTGGTGGTGTTGTCTAAACTACTGCAGCATGAAATGGCAACCACAGCCACTGCACAGACGGTTACCTTGAGATAGGCTGAATTAAAAGCTGTCTGCTCAACAAAGTCCAGTCTTTCCAGCTTTGAGCATCCTTTCATGTAGTGCTGCAATCACCTTTTAACCTCCAATCCCTTCCATAGAGATTTGCTCCCTCCCAACACCTCTCTGTCTGCAGTGGGGAACAGTGCTCTGCACAGATGTCAACAACACTCACCCACAAAGGCTCAGAAAAGATTTTCGCTGCAGTTCAACTGTCAGTAAACACACCACCATCATCCATAGTATGACACAGGCTGCATGGCCACCTGGAGCCAGAAGCAATACTATCAGGGTACAGTTTCGGACAACTGCCCCTAAGGGATCAGCAAAGACAAAGGCCCACATTTTTCTTCTTCCTAATGTTTCTAAATATGTTTACATCCTCAGATTAAAGGCACTCCACCAGTGTGAAGAAAAGTTCATTACTAATTATTTTATTCTTTCGAAAGCATAACAAAATGACCCTTTCTGTGACCCCTTCTGCAAGCCAGGAGTGCCTTTCACATCTAGTTTTGCTTGACTTAGAGTTCTGATGCAAACATCTGGCAGATAAGAGGTCTGCAAACAAAGGATCTGCTGATTGCACGTCACTTCACCTAGTGGCACTCACTGCTGCTCTGATGCCTCCACCTTATCCATCACCAACCAACCCAACGCTCCTGTTCTGCCAACACACATGCTTTATGGGGCCACAGTGACCTGGATCACTGAACTGATCTGGATAATAAAATTAACATCCCTGGGAGAAACGTGTTGGGGTGTGTTTTATGGCCTAATGACCCTGGATCACTCAGCTGCCCCACAGCTCAGACCCACAGGTATGTGCACTGGCACAAGGAGGGCACTACAGCAAGTGTGGGAACCCACCATGGGTGTGATGGGCTTGGGAACTCTCTGTTGGTGGTGTTGTCTAAACTACTGCAGCATGAAATGGCAACCACAGCCACTGCACAGACGGTTACCTTGAGATAGGCTGAATTAAAAGCTGTCTGCTCAACAAAGTCCAGTCTTTCCAGCTTTGAGCATCCTTTCATGTAGTGCTGCAATCACCTAAACACCAGGCAATTCCCTTAACCCCTGCACAATCAGGTCACTGGCAGAAAGAGAAGGATTTACTCTTTCTTTGAAGCAGCAAACAGCTGCTTGGAGCCCTCCAACTATACAAAGCCACAGCAGAATATTGCAACCCTTCTGAAAGTTTCCACAGGAGCTGTGCCTACCAGACATCCAAGGGCAAAAGTTTCCATTACCTTTTAGCAGGATGCTTACACTATTATTTGTAACACAGGACAATTGATACCCAGTATTTTTCCATCATTTTTTCCAGACCATAAGAGATGAGCAGAGAAGAGCAGGGGAAAGAAAAGCCTTTTGATGTTGCTAAAGAGGTTATTTGCATGCAAAGCTCTCTTGCTCTACCCCCTGGATTCCAGTCAAGTATTTGGCCTGGAAACCAGTATTTCAGGAGGAACTGCATTGTTATAAGATGAGCTGCTAAGGAAAACTCCCTGATTTCTGATGAGTTATTTTGAAGGGAACATCTGATGCGAGTACCAACCAGTGAGGTCATAGCTTGGAGCTGAATTCCCTTAATTACAGCCTTCCCATTAAAATGAGGATATGAACCAATAACAGAGGCATCGGTTGCATCCCTGCTTTATTGTTATCAGTCTGAACTTGCCCTTGACTAAGCATAGTAGGCAATTCCATGCCAATCCTACCTGGCTTTTAACTCCCGTAGTGCCATACGCAGCCTTGCTAAATCCATCAAATGCAGCTCTTGTGATGCAGTGATTTTATATACCACACCCCCACAGCCCCCGCACCAGAGAGAAAGAAATGACACTTGTGTCCTACAGTTGATTGCAAGATCTGACTAACACTTTTCCCACGGTGGTGACAACTAGGCACGCTCCTTCCCTGGTGCCTGATAGACTCAGCTCACACTGTGGCATCCTCTCCTTTTTAGACATCTTCCCTGTCATGTCTCCTCTCTTCCCAAAGCTGAGAACAGCTTCTACTGGAGGTTGCACCCCTTGTCAAATCTGGGAAAAGTGGCCCATGGGGTCAAATATTTTTTGGGATGAAGTGTGGTACATAAACACACATGTCTGTGGTCACTTAGCCCTTTCCTTTAGGAAATCATGCTGACAGGGGAAGGTAAAGCTGTAGCCCAGAGTGCCTTTTGCTTTTGAGTGCACCACTCACTCTGTGGCAGTCATTTATGACCATGACCAAAAAAAAGATTATTTTAACCTCCAATCCCTTCCATAGAGATTTGCTCCCTCCCAACACCTCTCTGTCTGCAGTGGGGAACAGTGCTCTGCACAGATGTCAACAACACTCACCCACAAAGGCTCAGAAAAGATTTTCGCTGCAGTTCAACTGTCAGTAAACACACCACCATCATCCATAGTATGAGCTGAACCACGGGGCCATGATGGAGCCTGCCAACTGAATAGTAACAAATAAAAGGGTATAAAATGAGCCTGAGTGATGGAGGAACCCATGGTCTGGAGCTGACTTTCTCAGGACTGGGATTCAGCATGGAGGCGGTTAAGTTTTAAATCACAGCTGCTGATGGCGAAATTGTGTCCTGGACTTCTGATCTTGTGCTACACGACACTTTACATCAGATATGTGCCCTTATCATTACATGTGTCATTTGTCAGTATTTCTTTTTCAAATGTGTGTTTCCCAGCAGCCTGGCCTTTCCCGCTACAACTCAAAAGTCAGGAAGGATCATTAGGGAAATTTGGCCTGACCTTCAGCCAGGAATACGCCTTTGCCCAGTGAGTACATGACACAGGGAACCCCACACCCTGCACTTCCATCAGGATATATCCATTTTCCCTAGACATCCGGCCTTTCCCGCTACAACTCAAAAGTCAGGAAGGATCATTAGGGAAATTTGGCCTGACCTTCAGCCAGGAATACGCCTTTGCCCAGTGAGTACATGACACAGGGAACCCCACACCCTGCACTTCCATCAGGATATATCCATTTTCCCTAGACATCCATGTGTTTCTCAGCCCCCCAGCCTTGCCCTTCAGTCCTACAACCTGCTGTACCTACAACCTCAGTAGTAACTGGAGAACAATAAACGCCAACACTTCAAGGACAGGACACTTTCTGAAATGTTTCCTTGCTATGTTAACCACAGTTACAGTCTGGTTTAGTAAGAGGAGATATCTTCAGGAGTACAAACACTGTTCAACATTTAATTTCTCATGTTTAATTTCTGTTCCACTGCCCTCTGAATGTGTATGAGGTCCTCGGCTCTGCAGGGCGCACAACACGTGTACACCCAGCGTCCCCCAGCTCAGCCACCACCACCAGGCTCACACCCCATCTCACCAGAAGCTCAGCCTCCTGCTTCCACAGCACCTTCTCCCCTTCCCTCCTGCTCCCAACCGCTGTGGTAAGAAAACCCACTCCAGGAGGAGAAAGTCCCATCTGGGTTGAGCCAGGGGACCCTTGCGCAAGGGCTGTTGAACCCACCTGCTGCTCTCCACCATATGGGTGAACCCACCCCGACCCTCCTCTTCCTGTCTCCCTCCAGTCCTGAGCTGGCGGGGGACACGGGGGCCAGGGCACAAGGCTTACACACGGGATGGTGGCTCGCCCAGGGGAACCCGCAAAGCTCCTAGGGGTACCTGCTGCCGCTGCAGGGAGCCCAGCGAGGGCCCAGCCCCGTCCCGGAGGAGGAGCCGGCCGGGAAGGTGTGCTGCCAGCCCGGCCCAGCCCTGCCCAGTCCCGCCAGCAGCGGCTCCAGGATGCTCTGAGCCACCCGGAGGACGAAGGAGATGGAGCCGCTGGAGACCAACAGCAGCTGCAGCAACGGTGGGTGCTCCCCCAGGCCGGGCCGGCAGCGCGGGGGGACAAGGGGACAAGCCCCGGGGCTCAGAGGGAGGGTCCCCGGGGAGAGGGGGCAAGCCCCACTGCACCCCCCAGCCTTATCCCCACCCAGCTGTGGGGCCGTTCTCTGTCACTGCTCTCTTTTTCTGGGTTGGGGGGGGTCTTTTCCTTGGTTTTTGAGGTCTGTATAGGACTGGGAAAACTCCCTGTGTGCACAAGCTCTGCCAGCAGCGAGCACTGCACTGTTGCAGCCTCACAGCAGTTCGGAAGAAACTGAGCTAGGTTTTGGTTTTTTATTTCCTTTAAAGATTATCTAATGCAGTGGGTAATCACCCCATCCCACTGCCTTATGCTTGTGCCCTGTAGCACATTGCTGAGATTTTCACCCAGCCAAGGAGGCAAGACAGTCCCCCTGCTCCCCAGGAAATATTTCTACAATCACGGACGTTTTTCCATTAGAAAAGAAACCTTATTAGGGAACCTCTGGAAACTCTTCTAGAAGATCACTGGACTTTTTTTCCATTAGAAAAGGTTGGGATCCAGTTCAGATCCAAACCCCCAAGCCACAGGTGCAGGGGACACGGGGTGCAGCTGCAGAAGATCTAAACCAGTCTCTTGGTTCAGGAAAAAGGTGGGACCCGTGCCCAGGCTGCTGGCAGCGCTGCAGGCAGTTTAGCTGTTGCATACCCCTGCCTGCAGAGACACAAATACTTGCTCCGTAGTTCCTACCTGAGCTTGGGCAGAACATTAAAGCCTCTTACTACAAAGGGACTTTTGTGACACTCCACCTGGCTGTTCTGTAGCCCAGTCGCAGTCACAGTGTCTTTACTACACTGTGCATGAGGATTGCAATAGGAAGATGTGCTGGATGTGGTAGGAGTGTGAGGGTAGGAAGAAACTCAGCAGTTTTCCCACCCACACACTTGGACACACCTTGGCTAGAGACTCAGGGGCTTAGTGCTTTTGGTGTTAACAGCAGAAAACTGTGCCTGCTTTCAGGCCTTCCATGCTGGCAGGACTTGGTGTGTTTTATGAGCACTCAGGATCTCTGCATATAGGTAGAATAAAACCATTAGACAGTAAAGGCAATGTATAGATGAAGCTTTGATCTGGGACGAGCCTGTTGTTGTCTTAACAAGCAATCCCATGGCACTGCTCGGTACATAGAGCTGGGACAGATGCAGTTACAGTGTATTGGCATCACTCGCATCAAACCCAAAGCTGTAAGCTGCAGACACAAGGATTGGTTGGCTGGAACGCACCACAGCCTTTGAATCAACAAGGTTGAGTGTTGATAAGGCACAGTTCAAACTCATAACGTTGACATTTGATGGAGAAGGTCTGGCATAAATACTTGGAAATTCAAATTACATTATTATAGTGGTCCTTGTGGCCCTCGTGGCCCTCCAGTTCAGTGTGTAGACTGGCAGATACTTGGAAATTCAAATTACATTATTATAGTGGTTCTCGTGGCCTCCAGTTCAGTGTGTAGACTGGCAGACACATTCAGTGTCAACAAGCTGCTTGAATTGCACTCCATAAATCTGTCACTCAACGCTTTGCCATTTCCACATGTGAGTAAAGAGGTGTCCTGGGTTTTTGAGAGCTGGTGGGTACGTGCTGTTAGGGTGACAGCACGGGTGGCTGTGCAGAGAGACATCAATGAGTCCAAAGAACAATAGAGACACTGTTGATAGTTACATCAGTAATTTGCTCTTATCTCCATGATGGTGTCACAGGGTCTCTGGTCACCCTTTCGTGCCTTTCCCACCGCGTCGTGTGCCAGGTCATCAGTGATGCTGACCCAGTTGACTCTGTCCAGGATAATGGGACTTTGGATATCTTCTGGGTAACTCAGCTGGAAAACAACTATGGATTCTACATTGGCCTGGGCTTGGCTGTCTTCTCCAGCTTCCTCATCGGAAGCAGCGTCATCCTCAAGAAGAAGGGGCTGCTACGGCTCGTGGAGAAAGGAGGCACCAGGGCAGGTAAGGCTTTTGTGGGGGACAGGAGAGGGGAGGTCCACCTGTCCCCAGAACCACACGCATCATCCAAACTTCAGCACTCGTATGGCAGGGGAATACCCCTGGGTACACGTCAGCCTTCCATCAGCTATGTAAGACAGACCTTTTCTGCATGTTTGAGTATGAAACTCGGAGCAGTGCTGTGCTGGAGCCAAGGAGCTAGTTTACAGAGCCCTGCATTGGAAGGGCTCGGCTAAAAGCAGCTTTCCCCTGCCTTGCACCACAAACAGCAAGTCACATGTATTGTGTGATAAGATGTGCACCCACCAGGAGAACAATACAGGCATATCACAGCTCTTACATGGGAAAGCATATGGCCAAGAGGATGCAGGATGTTGAAAGCTCTTTGAAATGACCCCCCTTTGTGCAAAGCTGCAAGTCATCCCCATGCCCCAGACCAGAGCAGAACAGCACAGCTCTATGACCCCACTCTTATTAATGCCCTAGGCAGCTTTGCCACTGAGACAAGGATGAGGCCCCAGGTGCTTTAATTGCATTAGCAAGAGCCATTTATTAATGCAGGACTGTAGCCCTGCGATCTGTTTGAACTCCGGTTGTGGTTTTCAGAAAGGATACATCTGAGGTATGTTGCTCAACCAGGTGTAGATAACTTTCCTCTAGCACCAAGCTGTTAGGGTGAGGCATGTGTTTATGTGCACGTATATATGGATGGGAAATGGTGGAGGAGCACTGCCTACAGCAGAATTGCACTGTGGAATTGGACACATCCCATCAGCATTACAAACATTGGCTCTAGCAGCAGGGTAAGTCCTACCTGGCAGCTGACCTACTTGCATAACTACAAGACAAAATAACGATAATTAAAATACTACTACTCCTTCCCAGTTCTGGCCTAGGACCAATTCCTAAACCATTTTACAAAGCAAGTCAGTATCACTGTCCCCATATGAGGACACAAAGGCATGGAGTGATCAAGTGACCGTCCAGAGTCAACCAGCAGGTGACCAGCAAAGCTATCAACAGCACCTGAGCCACAGGCCAGTCCCAAGTCTGTCTCCATCTCCTGCCATTAGGCTGGCTGCACACAACTGCTGAACTCACACAGTTTTGCTTTTCACCTTATATTTGCAGAAGACAAACAAATATTGTTTGTTTTGTAGATGCCCCTTGTCCTTCCCTCCATGAACTCCTCCCACAACAGAGCCAAGCGAGTAAAACAAGGGCAAACCCCGGCTATTTTTCAAGATGTTTAACTAGGAATTGGAGATTAATGACAGAAAACTGCAGTTGACAAAAAGAACTCTTAAGAAAAAAAACCAAACAAACAAGCAAACAAAATGCAACCCAGCAATTTCTAAGGAATACCAGAGCATAACATTTGAACTTGAGCATTTGTGAACTGGAGGAACCAGAAGAGGCTAAATTCCAACAAATTCCTCTCTGCCTCTTCATTCCCCCTTTCCCTATCTCACCCTTTAATCTCTCAGCCCCGGTGGTTCACCCCAGCTATCTGAGTACATCACTTTTCTCCAAGGCGGGTCAAACATTGCTGTAACTGACAGCTCCGGTCGGGTCAGACTTCTCAGAAACACGGGCTCTCTCTGACCCAGTAAAATTAAAACCAGGGATCACAATGTCAGCAGGCTCAAGCTCCTTACATCTAACAGCTTGTGGGTTAAGACCCGAGCTGGATTAGTGTCCAACACAGCATGGCTATTCCTGCTCATTGACACGCACATTTTCTCTCACTGAGTTGTTCCAATGCCAAGAATCATTTTTCATCAGAAACGCTCAGCCACACCATGACTGTGCCACAGAAAGCTAACATTAGGATTCCTGGCAGCTCGGGCCAACTCCCTATGATACAGCCGTGATAACTCAGCCACACCATGACTGTGCCACAGAAAGCTAACATTAGGATTCCTGGCAGCTCAGGCCAACTCCCTGTGATACAGCCGTGACACAAAGCAGTGTACAAAAGCAAAGATAACTCCCGGGGCAGGACACAGGCAGCCCTCACCACAACTGCACAGCAACGCGGCCTATAGGCACCCAACACCAAGCAGCTCTTCCCCCTTCATCTTTCATAGCTATAACCCGCGCTTGAAAAAAACTCATTGCCTTACCTTAGTGCCCACGCGTGAGACTCCACAGCGAGCTGGTGCAGTGCGAGGTGAAGCACAGGAGTGACAGTGTCCCAGTGAGCAGTCTTTAGGTGGGGGGGCATCCAGCACAGAGCAGCCCCTGCCACGCTTCATCCCTCTGCTCCAGGAGGGCCCCGTAGTGATAGGGAAGTGGAACATGCAAGATGAAACACGATCAGTCCACAGGACCTCAGGTGGGGTGTTTATCGCCGGATTTAGGGGCCGATGCACCCTGATGAACCAGTGAGGATGACCACAGCTTCCAGGGCTGAAGGGCAGCCCCAAGCTCCATGGCAGGCTGCACCCCAGGCCCATAACCTCTGTGGCTTTAAGGTGCTGGGTGCTATTCCCATTGGCACCCAGGGTTAAACACCTGGGGTTTTTTTTGTATTTGCATTGTCCAGCCCCAAGTGCCAGCTTCTACTAATCCCTTGTCTCAACATAATTCCACATAGGGTAGTATGTCTGCATAGTCTGTCCTTCCAGGCTGTTTTCTGCGTCAAACTATGCCCCTTGCAATTTATCCTTCTCCAAAGGGATGTTTCTCATCTCTTACTCCAAAGAACATGGTTGTTGACTCCTGCATACCTGTGTGCTTTGCTTCCCCAGGAGATGGAGGCCACGGCTACCTGAAGGACTGGCTCTGGTGGGCTGGCTTGTTAACCAGTAAGTAGAAGTTGTTTCTCTGGGTTTGCAGTTTTTCCAGGGCCTGTCCCTGTGAATCAGGTGTGGAACGAGCCCAGCATCTGGTGGCTTAAAGCCTTTTTTTCTGGCAAGCTCCTCCATCATCAGCAGAGGTACCTCAAGAAAAGAGGAGGCCGTGAGCTGCACAGGATCTCCCTCACCGTCCTCCTGCAGGGCTGGTAGGACTTGCCAGCTCAGTTTTTCCCCATCAAAGGCACAAAGAGCCAGGTTTGCATACAAGGCACAACACAAACAGCCTCCCGTGCGTGCCTGGGTACTCTAGGAAAGTTTGCTGCTGCTGCAGAAGGGAGATAGCAAGGAGGTGTTGGTGGAAATCCTTTTCTTGAGCAAAACTTGCTTTGCCTTAGAGCCAGCAATCCTTAAATCCTTCTTTTCACACCACAACACTACGGTATCTCCTCAAATTGGACTCGCAGTTGTACAAAGAGCAGCAGAGGTGTTTTCAGAGCAGTCTTTCCTGGCTCTCACATCAGCTCAAGGTGCCCCCACCTTGCCCTGCCCTTGCAGCTCCTACTGCTTCTCTGGGTTTGCAGTTTTTCCAGGGCCTGTCCCTGTGAATCAGGTGTGGAACGAGCCCAGCATCTGGTGGCTTAAAGCCTTTTTTTCTGCCAAGCTCCCCCATCTTCAGCAGAGGTACCTCAAAAAGATAGGAGGCCATGAGCTGCACAGGATCTCCCTCACCGTCCTCCTGCAGGGCTGGTAGGACTTGCCAGCTCAGTTTTTCCCCATCAAAGGCACAAAGAGCCAGGTTTGCATACAAGGCACAACACAAACAGCCTCCCGTGCGTGCCTGGGTACTCTAGGAAAGTTTGCTGCTGCTGCAGAAGGGAGATAGCAAGGAGGTGTTGGTGGAAATCCTTTTCTTGAGCAAAACTTGCTTTGCCTTAGAGCCAGCAATCCTTAAATCCTTCTTTTCACACCGCAACACTACAGTATCTCCTCAAATTGGACTCACAATTGTACAAAGAGCAGCAGAGGTGTTTTCAGAGCAGTCTTTCCTGGCTCTCGCATCAGCTCAAGGTGCCCCCACCTTGTCCTGCCCTTGCAGCTCCTGCTGCACAACCACCACATCACAGCCCATAAGCAAACACACAATACTCACTGCTCGAGGAACAAGGACAACCCAGCCAGAAGGTGACACCATAGTCCCAAGGAGGCACTTTGTAGGTGAGGAGCAACCTCCCAGCAGCCCCCACAGGAGCCCACCCCCTCATTAATCACCCAGACCCAGTACAGCTGCATGGCTGGGCTGTGGGGGTTTAATGAGTAAATACAGGCAGCTGTGCCAGGGCCAAGCCCTGGCACCCCTAGACCTTCTCCAGGTGGGTGTGGGGCTCCAGGTATGCCTCCCTGCTTGCATTAATTTGTAATACAGAGATTTTCACCCACTGTCAGGCCCTGTTAAGCAGCAGCATGAAACACCCATAATAAAACCCACTCTCTCACTGACATCTTACTAGTTTGCAAGCCCACAAGAGAAAAGACAAAAAGTATGCTGTAACTCACTGGTATTTATTTTTCTTGTGTTTGTTTAGTGGGTGGAGGGGAAGCTGCCAACTTTGCCGCCTATGCCTTTGCTCCTGCAACTATTGTCACGCCTCTGGGGGCTCTGAGCGTGCTCATAAGGTGATTTATGTTTCTATAGTTTGTAGTTTGCCTTTTTTTATTTGCCTGTTTGTCTTGCAAGGTAGAAAGACTTGAGGTGATGCTAATATGATTTATTCTGCCTGAAGGAAAAAACGGCTCAGGGTTTTTCTTACCAGTTGTTGTCCTTTGGGGGAATCATTTGGAAACCACTGAATTCAGTTCCCTTCTGGAAATGCTGCATGTGATTAACAGTCACATACACTTCAGGTTAAATTAATGCAAATATCAATATTAATTCCTTCCTTAATCCATCTCTTTAGCCAATTCAAGGCTGTTTGGTTTGGTTTGGTATGTTTTTGCTGTGAACAGTACTAAAAATCTAAAAGGGTCAAAAATAACAGGCTTGTTTTTAAGCTGTCTTTTGTTTGCCTTTTATTTTCTAGCTTTTAGGGTCCTCTGATGTGTTTTTATACTTTTGTCTGTTGCTGAAAGGGCTGAAACCCTATTGTATTTTATTATTTTTAAAAAGTACATTCATATCAAAATACTCTGATGTGTTTTTATACTTTTGTCTGTTGCCGAAAGGGCTGAAACCCTATTGTTATTTTTAAAAAGGACATTCATATCAAAATATATGACTCCAGGTACTGAAGGTTTTATAGAAGGACTGTTACTGTGAAGGGCATAAGCAAGCTGAGAGTTAGGACTGCTCTGGTGTTTTGCCCCAAAGTATTATGAACAACAACTAGATATTTTTGCAGATATATCTACAGCCCCAAATACCTTCAGAGTTTCTCTGGGGCTTAATAGTTCTGATGATTTAGTTAAAATTAATGTAACTCTCTTATTGTTAGGTTGGGTTTTTTTTTTCTCTGTCACACTGTCATTTCCTTGGGCACTAAAGGCTTCTTAATGCCCAACAGCTCGTGAGTGAATCTGTAGACCCTGAAAATATTTCTGAGGGTGTGCTAACACCTTTAGCAATTTTTAACCTTGCTGATACATGAGCTGTGATCTGTAGATCACACCTGCGTCTCTGCAGGTTCAGCTGTCAGTAGATGCAATGTGATTATGTGCTAACACACTGGAGTCCCAACAAATTTGGTCCAAATTTGTGTCCTTGTATCACATGAAGGCATTCTTTACCTTATTTTAGCTACTGTTCCTTCTTTGAAGGACTTCAAAAAACACCAGCTGATGTTTTTCTGTCCTGTGCAGTGCCATCCTGTCTTCGTATTTGCTTGGAGAACGGCTCAATTTGCTGGGAAAGCTGGGCTGCATGCTCAGCCTCGTGGGCAGCACCGTGATGGTGATACATGCCCCAGAGGACGAGGAGGTCACCACTCTGGATGAAATGTCTTCAAAGCTGAAAGAGCCGGGTATGCAAGGGGTCGTGTTTTCTCTCTCAGTCATGGGCAGTGCGTACCGCTCCCCTTGCCCACTGCTCAGTTTTGAGTTACTTTTCTCCCTCTTACAGGTTTTCTTGCTTATGCTGCGATCCTCTTGGTTGTCTGCTTCCTCCTGATCTTCTACCTCGCACCCCGCTATGGCCAGAGCAACATCCTCATCTACCTCACCATCTGCTCCGTTATTGGTGCCTTCTCCGTGTCCTCAGTGAAGGGCCTGGGTATCGCCATCAAAGGCTTCTTTGCTGGCCAGCCTGTGCTGCAGCACCCATTGACGTGGATTCTAGTCATCACGCTGGTGGCATCCATCACTACACAAATTAACTACCTCAATAAGTCTTTAGACATTTTCAACACCTCTTTGGTGTTTCCCATTTACTATGTGCTGTTCACCACCATTGTGATCACAACTTCCATCATCCTCTTTAAGGAGTGGGTCACCATGACCATAGTGGACATCATTGGGACAGTTTGTGGCTTCCTCACCATCATTTTGGGAGTGTTTTTGCTCCATGCTTTCAAAGACATGGACATAGGCTTAGGGAACCTACCACAAGTCCTCCAGAGTGGACAGCAAGCACCAGTCACCCAAGATGACAAGAATATCCTGATAGAAGTGGACAACTCCAGCATTGCCCCAGAGGATAAACCAAAAGTATTCATGATCTACACCTAACATGTTTTATGTGAGGGTCTGGGGGTTGGGTTGACGTCAGTATTCCAGATGCTATTGAGAAATTTAAAGAAGGAAAAGCAGACAATAAAACCAGCATTATCTTATCTAAAGCTTGGTAGAGTCAAGCCAAATCTTTATTTGGGCTTTCAGATTGGATCTTTGTAATGGTGTGGCAGCAAGGGGTATGTTTAATCCTCACTGGGCTTTAATGCATGCAGCCACTGAAAATGAAAATCCTCTTGAAAGATGATACTCCTGGGACAAAGCTCCTCTCTAAGGCCCCTTCCCATCTCTTCTTGGCAGGGCTAATGTTTATTCTTGCAATCCTTGCCCCGGGTGACCATTGATGTGTTTATTTCCAGGCCCTGATTGAGTCATTGATTAGTGATTTTTGTCTTTTTTTTTTTCCTTTCTAGACACATGCATGAACTCTAAAATACACACCAATATCTCAAACGGAGGTGACAGACAAGGACTGAACAGTGCACGCCGGCTATTCAGACTCTGCTCGTCCGTGTTTAATTATTTGCTCTGCAAGAATATTGATGAATATGGGCAAACTGTGGCGAATTTTGGAATAGTCACTTGGGCTCAGTGGCAGGACCCAAGCCATGAAGTGTTTTTACAGGATCATGACAGAGAAATCTTTTTCAGCTTTTGTTTTTTGTGAGGTGCAGGAGTTTCCAGGCAGCACAGTGTTAGTTTTATGTGGGTTTTTGTTTGTTTGGGTTTTTTTTTTTTTTCCTTAGCAGCTATGGTGCCCAGGCCACGTTGATGTGGTTGGTGAAAGCAGTCAGAGGGCAGCCCCTGCTCAGGCTGAGAAGTTCTGGCAGGGTAAGCTCTGTGTCAGAACACCAGCACCATCTTCAAGACTTTGTGGTCTGTGAAAATCTTTTCAGCCTGAAAGAGCAAGTGGTTGTAAATTTTAAGGGCTTTTTTTTCTCTTAGCAAATGTCCTTGGAGAGCCTCCCAACTCTTGGAGCCCCATGACCTGTCCTGCTATCATTTAAGCCCAAAAGCTTTGTTGTTGTTGTTTAGAGGGAGGTATGAGCTGCGTGTTAAAAGCCAAACAGGTGTAAGTGGGTGATGCTCTGCAGAGCTGTCGGGATGCCATTTATCTCAGAGCAGTCCCGTTCACCCCTCTCCATCTCTCCCAATATAGTATGGATGTTACCTGGACTCTTGCTCACAACTCACCTTCAAAACCCTCTTGGATTTGTATCGATGGTGAGGATGAAGGGATGGGAGAAATCACATTTTGAGCTGGAAGGTGAAAAAAGAAGATGTCACTGCAGTTAAAAGTTTCTCCCATGTTGCTACTTGGTCTTACAGCATGAGAAACTGGAGCCCATTTGCTCTCAGCAAATCCCAAACGGGGAGCAGCAAAGCCTGAGGTGGCTTTGCCAAGGTGGCTCGGTCTGGAGGCAGCTCTGGCTGGGTTAGCCCTGGACCCACAGCACGCACTGATGCTGTCTGAGATGCCAACCTGATTATACCCGGGTCTGGGTGCTGCTGAGCAAATGCAGCTTGGGGCTGGGGCGGGGGGAAGGAATATTCAATCTCTTATTTTAATAACATTTCAGTACTTTTTTTTTTTGAATGTGTAAAGGGAAATAAAGGGGAAATAAAGGCTTTTTCTAGAAAAAAAAAATCTGAATGTTTTTAATGATTTCTCTGACCTTACTGATATAGCCATAAACAGGCTGAAGGACAGCGGAGTACAGCAGAAAGAGCATCTGGGGCAGCAAGCAAAACAGCAGCGCCCTCCTTTGGTAGCAGAAAATAATCTAAATAATACACTTTAGCTTTGTTTTTGGCATCCTAATCGGTATAATGCTTTATGCATTTTCTTTTAGAAATTGCTGGTAAACAGGACTCATCCTTCTCACCGCCTAGAACTGCATTTTGTAAAAGCTATTACTCCAGCTATCCTGCCATCTCTGGACAAATGCCACATATAAAATGAAGATTTGAAGCAAAATAGTACACAGTGACAGAATATTTGTTAATGACAACTGACAAATTTATTAAAACTCGGCAAAAGGCACAATGAATTGCATTCTTCAAGTATTTGCATAGATGCACAGAGAGCATTATTGTAAACCATTAATATGTGGACACAGGAGAAAGTGAGATGTATTTTGGTATTTGTTCTCCCAAGTGACGTATTTTTAAAAAAATCACGTTTTACCATCTTTTACTCCTCCTACAGTTCCCTTATTCTTATTCTCTCAACTTGCACACATATAAAAAATGTAAAAGAACATACTTGAAACTACCTTTTGGAGACCATTTGATAAAGATGAGGGGTTGTAACAGAGGTAATGCTACTGTCGTCAGCGAGGGCTCAGATATAAGATCAAGTTCTTGTGGCTGAATCTATACTACCACAGTGTTTGTGCAGTATGTGCCCAGCTTACTGATCCAACTTTTGTTTAGATGTAATATAATCCAACTGTAGAAAAAGACATATAAAGATCAGAAAGCCGATGTCTTTCACTTGTCATCCCTCATTTCAGAGAAAAGTATTTTAGGTTGGTCTGTTTTTCAGGCACAGAGAAGGTAAGAAAAGGTCCAAAATTATCAAGGGAAGGAATAATCAACCAGAAAGTGAAGACACACCCTGTGTCCTGTTTTCTTGTGGAGAAAGAGGTAGTAAAGTTGCGAAAACTAGTGTGGTTTAAGTCATCCTACAGACATGCTGCTACATATAACTACAAATTTAATGAGTGCTTAGGGTTTATCTGGTGTTTTTCCAATCAGTAGAGCTTAGGGAAAGAGAACCATCAGCCAAGACTTTTTTTCTTTATGCCAATAACACAGTTTCTCACATGTGCAGCAGCAATCACACTGTTTGAGGATTTGTCCATAATAAATCAGACACAACAGAACTGTTGTAACTATAGTTCCAGAATTCCCTGTGTTCTCCTAGGAAATCATTTCAAGAAAAAAAAAAAAAAAAAGAAAAAAAGTTTGGCATAACAAAAGGTCTTAATTTAAAATCCTGAGGAAAAAAACGTACAAAAGCCAAAACTTCTAGGAGAAAAAACCCCAAATTCATAAGGGAGGGTCCCCTCAGGGTCAGAACCATCAGCTGCTTAAAGTGCACACAGACAGCTCTCTCCCTCCACGTCCTGGAGAAAAAAACCCGGAGTAAATGAGCTGCCCTACAAAAGCACCATGTGTTGCATTCATGTTTCTGCTGTTTTACCACCTGGGCAATTTCAAGGTAGGTTTCTCAGCTGTATGGGGAGCAGACAGCCCGTGCTGAATTACTGCTCAGCACAGACCGAAGCCTGAGGAGACACGTGCAGAAGTGTCTACTGATTATCCACGGTACCGTATGCTGGAGAGGAGGTTTCACCACTGCCTTTTGCTGAGCTTCCCTCTGGCCATTTACTCTGTATCTTGGCCAGAGAGTTTCCCTGTCGTACCTTGACTGTGTCCCAAAGACACGGATGAGAGTGCACGGGCCACGCTGGGGATGCTGTCAGGTCTTACAGCACTGAGGCAAGACAAGTGAGTGCTGGAGGACAGACAGGTTGCAATGCTCTTGCTGAAGATGGTTATATGGGGGAAAATAATTAATCCACTCTGTAAAAGCTAAATCAAAATCCATAGTGACCCACATAACCAGGAATATGGTTTGCTCCCTGTTGTGGCCTGGCTTTCCACCTGCTGTAAACTTGAGAATATGCTGAAGAAAGTTATCAACGGCTGCCTTCTGCTCTCTCAAGAGGCAGCAGTTTCTGTGTAGCACCAACGTATGCTCCTGCAGCTGTGTGGATGGGCTGAGGAAACCAACAGGGCTGGGTCTTACATGAAAACCCATCAGGGTCAGCACCTGCACTCACAGCTTGATCTCCCTGGTAACACTTAAATAACTGACTAAAAACATGTGAAGGCCCCATCACCCCATCCCTGCACTGGATATTGCACAATAATGTTTAAATACCGTATAAACAAGTCATCCCTATATGGCAAAGGCTATCAGCAGAGAGGGCTGAGTTCAGCTTGGCATGTTACCGGCGCAGTTCCTGGGGGCACTTGGGCCAAGCCTGACTGCAGCTTGTTGAGTTGCAGAGGAATCATGTGAGGTTAGAGGAGAGGAATCAAGACACTGTCTGTGGCTGCAAACATTTTTTTGGGGTGATGAAGGCCATCCAGTCTTCACCCTGTGAAGGTCAGAGCCAGCTGGGAACAGTTGGTTCATGAGTGCCCACGGGAGCCTGGCTGCACCACTTGCAAGATGTTTGCTGCTCCAGCCGTCCCAACACCAGTATTCTGGGTGAGATGGAAAATGGGGAAAAGAGAAAGGGGTGAGCACTGGTGAAAGAGCAGACGCTTCCTTCTCCTTCTCCCAGAGCTGATGGTACAGCAGAACATCAGCTACAGGGAGAAGCCTGTCTAATTACACCCCAATGCATCACATCAGCAACTCTCCTCCTCTCTACCAGTGACACAATGAAGTTCATGCATTATTTTTTTTCCAATTTTTTGCAGCTGGCCTCAAGTATGTGGTTGGCTGGAGGCAGCACCTGCGGTGTGTGGAGTTGCAGGTGTTTTGTGTGAAGGGGTCCAGCTTGCAGGGAGCTGAGCTCAGCAACTCAAAGTCCCTTATTAATGATCCTTATTAAGGACACTTTTGGGAAACACTCCCTACAGAGAAAGCATCTCCTTAGCCATGGCTAGAGAGGCTGGACCAGTTTCTGTTCCTTACTGGGGTCCTCAAATCTGGCATGGACTTTCCTGTTTTTGTCACTCTTCACTAACCATTCTGGGTCCCCCACACCCCCATAGCTCACCCCATTCACACAAATGTTTTACCTGAGAAAGTGCTCAGAGACACAGAGGACTAAGTTAACTGTTTTGCTTAACCTAGTAAATGCTTAATAAGGAACAGCTGAAAACAGAACCCTCTGCAATAAAGGCAACCAACCCTGTTTCCACCTGTTGGGGCTGTGTGTGAAGGTGTTTTGCCATACAATAGCAAGGTTACTCCCTTCAGAGTAGTTTTCCTCCCCTGTGGTGAGGGGATGGCTGCTGTGCTTCCATCACCTCACTCAGTGCCTACCTGTGCTGCAGGCTGGAGTCCTCCTGGGGTTCTGGGGTGTGCAGGAGGCAGCGAGATGGTGGGGCTGTTCCCTGGCCAGGCTCTGGCTCTGTTTGGGACAGGATTAGCTGGCAAAGCTCTTTGGGGCGGCCGGGGCCTAGAAATATCCTACACAAGAAAGAAACAGTTTTGAATTCTCAGCCTGGAAAGAGGCCTGGCCTGAAAGCACAGACAATATTTTTAATTTTCTGTAAGTCTGAGACAGCAGATTTGATACGCAGCTGCACACCTCGGTGTGTCTGGTGTGGAGTAAGCCCCATGGATATTACAATCTAAGGGCTGCACGATGAAAAGCAGGAGAAACCTTACAGACTGGGCAGGAGTCCTCATCACAACTCAGCCTGTAGCATCCCCAGCCTAAGACAAAGGACCAAAGGGACACAGGTAAAACCATGCTTGCAAAGACTTCTTCCTTTCTGAAGCAAGGAGGGAGCGTGGGTGGCTGCTGCTATTACTTATACTATTATGCAAGTGGTTAGTGCTTTTCAATGCAGAGCTTCTCACCTATCAAGTTTCAGGAAGACTGGCTTTATGCTGCTGGGCAGCTGGCTTCAAACCAAGGACAACCAACCAGGGTAAGAGGGTTACCTTCCTCAGGCTCCTGAACAGAGCTGCAGGCTCATCCTATTCTGGCTACTAAGGGATCCAGAAGTTTTGAGCCTTGAATTTTGCAAGTAATAGGGAAGGTATATTCCAGAGCCTTTTAATTAGCCCCATTATTGATGCACTTGAGGTTGGATGCAAGTTTCACACGCATACACTCATTGCATGATTGCCCATGCAATGCCTGTAAACCCTCCGTACATGTATATACATGTGTCCATACACACACAGCCCTTCACCCCCCCACAATCGGTTATTACTTTGTTTGTGCACACAGCTGTCCCTAATAGGATACTCAAGAGCATTATATTTTCCATTTGCCTAATGAATTCCAGTGTAAAGCACGGCCCTGGGGAGAAGTTACCCACACAAGAACTGTTGCTGCTTAGTCTCTGTGCTAAGTCGCTGGCTTACAGGTGTGGATTTAATAAACACAGCTGCACTCACAGCTTGGAGGGCACCCAAAAACCCTGCGGTCTCCTTAGACTATGCATAAGTGCAACGCTCAACGGCTGCATCAGCCGATGCTTGGGGGTTTATTGCTGTCCCTGTGACTGCAGGAGGACAGGGCAGACTAAACCCCACCGACCACTGGCCGCAAAGAGCTCCCACAGGAACAGCGAGAGAGCACATCTGGCAGATACTGCAAACGTCTAGGAAGGACACTGACTCCAGCAAACAATGAAATTAATTATTTCCCTTGTACCTTCTACATCTTGTGGCTCTCCTCCAATCCAGAAATGGCAAGGTTTCTTTTGGAAATCCTAGGAAAAGTGTCCCATCTAATAGATCTGACTGAGATAAAGAGACTGGATGCACTGGGGAGGGAACACAATGGAGATTGTGGGGAACTTGTCAACAACCAGCTGGGAAGGATACCTATTCCTTACTGACTACAGTCAGCTTCCTGCTTTTGTTTCAGTTTTCTTTCCTGCTGAAGTGCCGGCTGTTCACAGGAACAATGGAGCTTGAAACAAATCTCATTCACTAAAATATTTTGGGTTTGTTTTCCTCTATATCCTTCAGAGACAGAGTGCCTGGGAGCCAGCCTCCTGCTATCCCCTGCAACTGAGCCCTTTGCTTCTTTGCTGGCCCTAACCTAATAAAGCTAGTGGAGAAATATTTTGGTAAAATGAGTTTAAATCAGTTTAAATGATTTGCCGTCTGCTCCATAAGAATGTGGGGTCTGTACTAAGCTTAGAACAAAATTGTCAGAAAGAGAAGTAAATAAATACCCTTTCCTTATAACCCTCAAAATAACCTCATGGCTAGGATGCTCACATTAAGATGGGGTCTGGGTGAAGTCTAGTGTATCCTATGCAACATGCTAAGGTCCCA